TAATGCGGAGGTTTGGAATTGAGTCAGCAGAGCTCTTATGCAGTATGTGCCTCAGCACTCAGCGACCTGCTCTGTAACTGTACTTGGTCTGACACTTTGTGGCTGAGTGGCTGAGGTTTCTAAATGCTTCCACTTTTTAGTAATATCACTCACAGTTGATCATGGAATATCTAGGAGGGAAGAAATTTTGCACACAGACCTGTTGCAATAGTGGCATCCTATTACAATACCACACTCTCTTTAGAATGACCCATTCTTTTACAAATGCTTGTAAAGGCAGACTGCATGGCTAGGTGCTTGATTTTATACACCTGTGGCAATGGGACTGAATGAAACACTTGAATTTAATGATTAAGAGGTGTGTCCCAATACGTTTTTTTTTCCATATAGTGTGTTTAAAAGCAACAGTTTAAAGTGCATAGTTTAGTTTCATCCCGAAGTATGACACGTATTGTGTGCTGCATTCACCTGATACTCACGTGTGTGTGTAGACTTGTGTAAAATATAGGTTTTAATTTGTTTTTGTTTTTTTGGCTTTTTTGTCAAGGTCTGTGTGTATGTGCATATGAAATTGCGTAATATATGTATTTGAATTGTTTTTGTTTTTTGTCTGGATTTATATGTAGGTACACTCATGTGTGCACTTCCAGAATATGTGTGTTTGCATTTATTTATTTATTTATTTTTTGTCTGGATAAGCATATGTGCACAAGCGTGTGTGTTTAGGTGTGTGTGTGCACTCTTGTCCTGCGTATGTGATCACAGCTCTGCCACATTGCCATGGCGACAGTGCCCTGTATGGGTAAAGTGGGATGGCTCTGTGGCTAATCCCCCACCTCCTCACGCTGCTCTCCTTCTCTCTTCTTTTTTCCCCTCTCTCATCCCTCTTTCTCTTCTCTGCTTCTGTCTCTCATCCCTCGCTCCATGTCCCCATGCCACTCTAATTAGCTCTGCTGCTCTCTCTCTTTCTCTCTCTGTCTCTCTCTCTCTCTATCTATATAGTGCTGCGCAGGAACTTACTGATGAGGGAGGGGGGTATGTGTGTGTGTGTTGGGCAGATAGACAGAAACAAAAAGAGGAAAAGAAGTCTGCAAGGGGGTTGAAATGAATGAATGAAAGAAGGAAAGAGAAACTGAGAGGGAAGAGAGAGTGAGAGAATGAAGGGGAGGAAGAGAAAAAGTAAGAGAGGGAGAGGAAGAGAAAGAAGCAGGAGAAAAAAGGAAGTGGAGGAAAAAAAGGGGGTCAGCGAAATAGAGAAAAAGAGAGAAAGAGAGTAAAGGAGAGAAAAGGCGGTAGATATAGAGACAGAAAGCAGGAGACAAGAACAAGAGTGAACGAGAGAAAGGAGGAGAGATGAAGAGAGAGTGGAGAAGAGAAAGAGGGGAAAGATAGAGACAGAGTGGAGGAAAGAAAGGGGGAGATATAGTGAGAGTGGAGGAGAGAAAGGGGAGAGATAGAGAGAGTAGGGGAAAGGGGAGAGAGTAAATAAGAGAAAGGGGTAATGGAGAGAGTGGAGGAGAAAAAAGGGGATAGATAGAGTGGAGGAGAGATAGAGAGAGTGGAGGAGAGAAAGGGGGTAGAGAGAGTGGAGGAGAGAAAGGGGAGAGACAGAGAGAGTGGAGGACAGAAAGGGGGGATAGAGAGTGGAGGAGAGAAAGGGGGAGAGAGTGGAGGAGAGAAGGGGGGGTAGAGAGAATGAAGAAGAAAAGGGGGGATAGAGAGATTGACGAAGAGAATGGGGAAAGAGAGAGTGAAGGAGAGAAAGGGGATAGAGAGAGTGGAGGAAAGAAAGGGGGATAGAGAGAGTGGAGGAGAGAAAGGGGGATAAAGAGAGTGAAGAAGAGAAAGGGGGGATAGAGAGAGTGGAGGAGAGAAAGGGGGATAGAGAGAATGAAGAAGAGCAAGGGGGGATAGAGAGAGTGGCAGGAGAAAAGGGGGGGATAGAGAAAGTGAAGAAGAGAAAGGTGATAGAGAGAGTGGAGGAGAGAAAGGAGGAGAGAGTGGAGGAAAGTAAGGGGGATAGAGTGAAGAAGAGAAAGGGGGGATAGAGAGAGTGGAGGAGGGATAGAGAGAGAGAAGGAGAGAAAGGGGAGGAGAAGTGAAGGATGAGGAGTCGTTCATTATGTGGCACCTTTAGCTCCAAATTGGCGTAACCTTTCCAGTTTCCAGCAGATGAGAGGGAATTTCCACAGGAGTCCTCCTCCAAATGCATCAAAGTATAGATAAAAGAAAGGAAAATGTAGCGTTGGTGTGTGAGAGAGAAAGAGAGACAGTGAGGCAGGGAGGCAGATGAACACAAAGCTTTTATTTTCTTACTTAATATTATCCCTATTAATATTAAGCATTAATTGCTTAAGTGGTAGCTGTTAATTACAATTCATGCCAATAGAGCTTTTTGAATTTGACAACTAGAGAGACAGAGACAAGCAGAGAGACAGAGGGAGAGAAAGAGTGGGCAATATGGCAAAAATACAATATCACAATGTTTAAAGACATTTTTACAACTGTGCGATACATACCACATATTAGTAGTACCACATTTAAAAACAGGCATTAAAATCTCTGAGGACACTGATTTTATTTAATATTTACAAACTGTACTTCACTGAATCCAGTTAAACAGGACTAACTACACTTTCTTTGTAAGGGAAGATGTAGTTGGTCAGTGTTCTTTAAGTATTTATGATACCCATGAAAATGCCCAGAAAAATGTATTGTTTATCACGATAATGATAAAAATGATTATTCCCAGCTTAAAGAGAGAGAAACAGAGAGCGAGAGACAGACAGCTAGAGAGAGAGAGACAGAGATGGAGGAAAGACTGCAGGAAAGGCTGAGACAGAGATTGTCTTTATTTTCCTAATACTGCATGAGAGCCACAGAGAGAGAAAGAGAGTGAGAGAGAGAGACAAGGTAAATGAGCGAGAGAGGAGTGCTAGTGTACAACATAAAGTCCAGTGTGTGTGTGTGTGTGTGTGTGTGTGTGTGTGTGTGTGTGTGAGAGAACACACAAGAGGCGAGATGATCTGATTGTGCAGTGAATGTGAAGCACATTGCAAGAGCTAGACACTCACAGGCTGAGAGCTTGCACTCTCTCTCTCTCTTTCTCTTTCCTTCCCTCCCTCGTACTCTTACTCTTTTCCTCTCTCTCCGTCTATGATTATCTCTCTCTTTCCCCTCCCTCCCTCTCTTACTCTTGCTCTTTTTCTCTCTCTCCTTCTATGATTATCTCTCTCTTTCTTTCTCTCTCTCTCTCTCTCTCTCTCTCTCTCTCTCTCTCTCTCACTCTCACTCTCTCTCTCTCTCTCTCACCCCTCCACTGCCTCAGGGAAATGTTTACGCCACTCTGGCTCCTGTCACGCAAGCGTACACTCCTCCAAATATGCTTCCCATCTCTCCATCTCTCCCTCTCTCAGCAGTTTGCCTCCCTCTCATCTCTCTCCTACTCTTTTTATCCTGCTGTACTGTCGAGCCTTTGTTTCGTTTACCTGTATTGACTGAACTGATCTGCAAAGTTATTACATCAGATTCCTGTACAGATCATTCTGTAATGAGGACGTGGCTGTTTGCACTACAATCCAACCACACAGGTGAAACGGCTACATGCTCAGGCCAGTTCAGACAGTAACGAATGAACTTAACATCAGCCAAGGATTAACCCCTTTTAAACTTGAGTCTTATTATCTGGTTATTTTTATTAAGGTTTATTTTGATCATTATCAATTATTCAGACACTACAATCACAAATGCCACTCCAGCTCATCCCAAAGGTATTGCATAGAGTTCCATCACTCCTACTGTGCCACAGCCCAGTGCTGGGGCCCTAAGCCCATCTAGTCAACGGGCATGGTGACCTATAGGCTCGTGCGGCTGCTACAGAGCGCCCCATTCTATTACTCAACGTTTTCCTATAGAGGATTAGAGATTATGCAAGCCGTGCATACACAGTTAAAGTAAGCTAAAGTGTTTGAATTCACCACGTAGAAAGGATTGTCTGGATATTTCTGGACACATAGCATAATTCACTCCATCACAGATTAGAATCACAGATCTTGTTGGTAATCTCTTAAATTACAGCACGCCCACCAGGTTGAATAGGGCTTTAAATAAAATCAGTGACAGGTATGGGTCACGACCCCTGTGTGCTCTTCCGGGCATGAGGCTAGACGGTTCAGGTGTGACCTCTGTTCGTTACCGCTATATGTAGTGGGGGCTTTGCTCTAGGTGACTTCCTCCCCTTTCAGTGCTCTATATTACCCTCGCCCACCCCCAGCCCGCAGAACTGTTGTGTAAGACTGGCTGGGTAACAGAATGAGAGAGAGAGAGAGAGAGAGAGAGAGATGGGACAAAAGAGAGGTGTGGGGACTAACAAATGGAGCGAGGGCAGGCAGGCAGCCAGGAGTGCGAAAGACAGAGTGAGAGAGCGAGCAAAAGAGAGAGAGAGAGAGGGAGAAAATGAGCAGGAAGATGTCAGATGACCGCACACTGGCTCCCCTCCCTCACCCGTTTGCAGTGGACGCTTGTCGGCAGTAACAAGCCACTCAGACAGGCCCCCCCCACCCCTCGCTCTGCCTGCCACCAGACTCCCACTGACACAGCTCATCTGGAAACGGCACAGCAGAGCCGAGCGGGAAAATAAGCCTGTACATCTTTAAAAGGGAAAAAAAGAGAGAGAGCCACATCACATGGTTGTTATTCTCTGAAATCTGCTGCTCAGGTCACTTTGACAGCCCCTCTCTTTCTCCCTCCCTCCTTTTTTCCCCTCCCTCGCTCTTTCTCTCATACTCTCTCTCTCTCCCTCACACACATAATCACTCACTCTCTCTCTCTCTCTCTCTCTCTCTCTCTCTTTCTCTCTCTCTCTCTCTCTCTCTCTCTCTCCCTCCTCCTACCTGCATTGCTATCAGCACACTAATAAGTGAGAGCGTACAGTCAAGGTAGCAGCAGGACTGCAACTCTCTCTCTCTCTCTCTCTCTCTCTCCTTTTCGATCTCTCGCTCTCTCACTCTCTTTCTGTGCTCTCATTCCTTTGTGCTCTCGTTCTTTTTTTAACCTTTCCCTCCCTCCGTCCCTCTCACGTTCTCACACACTCTCGCCCTCCCTCTCTCTCTCTCTCTCTCTCCCTCCTCGGTGTGCATACGTGCGTGTGTGGACCTTTTGGAAAACAGACGCCCATGTGAGCAGCAGCAGCAGCGGAGCCAGGCAGGCAGGCAGGCAGGCAGCGGCTGAAGCAGGAGCTGAAAAGAGAAAAGAGCGGAGAAAGGAGGAGAAAAGGAGAGAAGAAGTGAGGGAGTCGTACCACCATTCGCTCGGAGCAGCGGCGGCAGGGACAGGCATGTGAGAAGATGTCCGTGGGAGGCTGCGCGTGTCCGGGTAAGCAAGCGCCCCCTGAGCCGTCGCCGTGACTACCGCCAGGCGCCGAGAGAGAGCAGGAGCGGGTTGTCAAGTGTGTCTCCGTGGCGAGAGGAGAGAGGAGGCGGCCCTGGGCCTTTTTTTGTTGCAATGACATATGGGAAAGCACAGAAGGTACAAACATGTTGGGGAAACATGGCTGCCCCCTGTTGTACTCTCTGGAGCTGTGGGTGCGCGCCTTGGACTTTTTTTTTTGCTTTTTCTTTTGCTTTCCATTAACTGCTTTCTTGGGTTTTGGGGGAAGAGTGGACGGAAAAACGGAAGAGTTTGGTGGTGGTTTTCATTCCCCACCAGCGCACACAGCTGGTTTGCATTGGGGACAGTCATGGCTCGGGTTGCCTTGTTGTGGCTCCTGTTGTTGTTGATCGTTTCATGGCCTTAATTCTGAACAGGCTGAGGAGGATTTTTTGTTGTTTTGCTTTTTTCATCTAGGTTGCCAGTTTTGTGTCTGAAAGCAGATGTGCAGATCCTCTAGGTAGAGGATTTCTGGTTGGCAGAGGGGGGAAATCAATAGAGTGGCGTTTGCTGAAGTGCTTTGGTACAAGGCCAAAGGTCATAATATTCATAATAAGTTAAGTGGCAGCCTTTGCTGTCATGGCACATGGAAGCTCTTTTGCATCTTGGATACCTATATTAAACTAATCAGTGCATGTCTGTGCATTGGTAAGAGGCCAAATAGTCATAGTAGTCTTAATAAGTTATGTGGCAACCCTTGCTGTCATGGCCCACTGCATTTAGGATACATATCGCTGCTGTCGGAAGAAAACCTCATATCTCCATTTTTGTCGTTTCTTAGTTTCTGGCATAATTTGCCCTTTACATTGTGTGTGAATTTCATGAGGAATGGACAAAAAAAAACAGCCCAAAATAACTTAGAAATAAGTCTGGTTCCATTAACTTACATTAAAAGTAAAGAAGGTTTTTTCCTTTTGCTGTAAAGTTGTTATTTTGGAGACAGCTGCGATATATTTCTAATAGTACTCTTTATAACTGTGTAAATACATGGGGTTTTGGAGTTCATGTGCCCACATGCTGCCATAACATGTATTATTTTGGTATTTCTGTCTGCACACATCAACAAGTGTCTGTTTCAGCTTCACAACTGGAACCCTTAACGCAACCTTTGGGTTTTGGTTCTGTGTTTGGAAGCATAATGAGGTCCTTGAATGATATGAATAGGATCAGTCTGTGACACTGGTTTCTAACAGTTCGCTTAATCATAAATCCCATTATTAATAATATTAGCTTTTATTTGTTAGTTGTAAAATTGTCATTGTCAACCAAAAGAGGCTTGGTTCTCCTATTGAGTCTTGGTTCCTCTCACTGTTTCTTCCTCATGCTCTTAAGGAGTTCCTCTCAGTGGTTCTTCTTCATGCTTTCAAACAATTTTTCCTTTTGAGTGTTGGTTCCTCTCTGTGTTTTTTTTATTTGTGTTGGTTCCTCTCTGTGGTTCTCTATTTGAGTGTTGGTTCTGTCAGTGTTTCTTCCTCATGGTTTTAGTGAGTTTCTCCGTCTGAGTCTTGGTTCTTCTCTGTGGTTCTTCCTCGTGTTGTTAGGAAGTTTTTCCTTTTTAGTCTCGGTTGCTCTTATTGGTTTTACCTCAAGCACCTAAGGAGGTTTTCCTTTTGAGTCTCGGTTCCTCTTAGTGGCTCTTCCTCATGCTCTTAGGGACTTTTCCTTTCGAACCTTGGTTCCTCTCAGTGTTTCTTTCTCTGTAAGCATTCAGGGAGTTTTTCCTGCCTCTGTCTCCCTCAGCAGCGCTCATTAGATGCTCGGCCCAGCATTTCTGAAAAGCTGCTTTTTTAAATACTATGCAAAAAACAATTAAATAAAAAAAAACACGTTTGAATTGAATTAAACATCTGATGTGTTTAGTGACTCTAGTGACTTTAAGATATTTGTCTAAAATGCTTATTTTTAAATCCGTTCTTGATGGAGAGCTACATGCAGGATGTTCAGGCAAAATAGTCTCTAAAGAAGGCTTGTTTTTTAGATACACCACATCAGCGTTACATAGAAAACTCAGACTTGTGTTGGTTTTACTGGTGGTTTTGGAAAGTAAATGAAATCACTATTTTGTACTGTGGAAATTGTGGCCCTTGGTTCATGTCTCCAGCATTGTGAGGACATTTGTCACATTTCTCCACAGTGAACCATTTCACATCAAACCACTCCAAATGACTTTATTTAAATCTCAAGCACTGAATAAGGATATTTTAAAACATTGGTAGAATTCCCATTCAAATACAATAAAATGATCAGCTTGTACTTTATTGTTAAAAGGTCCTGAGGGTGAAATGTTCACACCCTCAAACAGCTCAGATACAGCATGAGACATAACGCTGCAGGTGGCCCAGATAGATAAATGTTTTGGGGGGAACTTGTGAACACACGCTGTGCCTCCAGCAGGGGGCGACGCTACAGATATGCCCCATGCGCTCTCTCTCTCTCTCTCTCTCTCTCTCTCTCTCTCTCTGCTGGGTTGATGTAATTTCACAGTCGTGTGCGACTGATATCTTCGCTCTGTCGCTCAGACTCATTGCACAAAGTGACAGTCGCCCTGGCGACGGCCCATCAAATCTGAGCTCCACCACTCTCTCATCCTTCACTGAGAGAGAGAGAGAGAGAGAGAGAGAGAGAGAGAGAGAGAGGGAGATGGAGAGAGAAAGGGAGGGAGAAAGAGAAAGATGCAGAAAAGAGAAGAGAGACAGGAGCAAAGAAGGGGAGAGGGAGAAACAGAAGGAAAGGAGGGGAGAAACGAAGGAGGGGGTGGTATATAGAAAGAACAAAATGCAGTTGATCATCCAAGGCATGTTTGATGTCTTAAGTTTGCTTCTTTTGTTTTCCACTGGACCTTCGAGGCTAATGTAGCAAGCAAGTAATGGAAGCTTATACCCAGTGGTATAAGCCCACCACGTCACACTGTGCTAACTGCCCACTATATTATCACACATTTGCCTCAAACTGTTTCTAAAAACAGGCAAGAATTCAGGTATTTTTAGTAATATTTTGCTTTTTTTTCCATTTTTATAGGTAACAGAATATAGTTTAGTATCAGAAGCCATGTAAGAAAGTCTGTGTGAGCTTACTTAACTGTATGATGATGATTTAAGCATGCATTTTGCACAATGCTAAATGGTGAGGTATAACTTATGTTTAAAGACGGCATAACAGGTATCGGTATCGAACCAATATCAGCAGAAAATGCGTGAAAAAAGAATGAATGTGATTCAAGCCTGTAACAGTTCAATCCTGAAATAGTGCTCACTCACACTGTGTGATGTGGTGTTGTTAGCTGTGTAATTCTTCATATGGGGTAGTAGAGGCTTTAAATAGTTTGAGCATGATAGCCTAGTGTTAGATGCTCATCTTAGGTGCTGCAATAAAAAGATACCTCCTTTTAAAGCTTAGTAGTTTTTAAGGAAATATTGCAATGGTATTGTTCACTACTCAAGGTTTTAGTATCAGCATCAGAAAAGAAAATGTGGTATTGTGCCATCTCTGCTTATATCACCTGTTTCTCTAAGCTATTGCTTTATTGCTTTTAGGGTTGTCATGATTACTTGATTAAAATCGATCACAACAAAAAACAAAACAAACAAAAAAAAAAACAGTCCTAAGTTAAGATCTGACAAGATAAGGATTTTCACAAATTTGTATTACAGAAGCAAATTTCTTATCTTACAGAATCTTATCTCAAGGTAGGAAATCCTGAACCAAATTGAGGTTGATAATCAGTTATGTCTGTTGCCAAGAAACAGACAATACACGCAATAAACATAATTTAAAATAGTTCAAAAAACATGTCCAAACTAAAGTGCGATAAAGTGAAAAATGTGGTTTAATGGGTCGCCGCCTCAGTTTCAGTTTCCATTTCCTAAGGCACCACACGTTTAACTCTCCTCATTATTCACCATTATCGCTGCGGTAGTTTATTTAGCAAGTTTTCATGTGTTAACACACATACAAGTAATGGGAGGGAATGTGTCTGCAGGATGTTTTCAATCACAGAGTTACAAAAACTCTCACAAGTGAAAATGCCATTTTGCAATATGAATAAATGTAACGCTATTATGCTAGTTTTAGTGAACTCGTTATACCGCCTGCCACAGTTGCCTAAAAATGAGAACATTCTCTTTTAACTTGATTGGCTAACAGTAGGAACAGACTTAAAACAGAAGTTAGCACTGGGGTTATCTTAAAGTTAGGATGATATTTATGAAATTTTGATGAGTGAATATAATGCTTCTGTAATACTATTGTGTTATCTGGAGTTAAAATAAGATAATGAAGTTCGGAACTGTTCTGTAATAGCTAAATTCAGTCCTAACTGAAGTTGTCATGGTGACTAAACAGATAAGATTTCTGAGTTAGGATGTTTCTGTAAAACGGCCCCAGGGCATCTGCAGGTCATGATAAAGCAGCATTCAGTAGTCTGTAGATTCTACACAAGGGGGAACTAGCACTCAAATCACTTTTGTGTGCATCACTGAGGCTACATTCTCATTACAAGCCTCATTGCTAAATTCCTTTTTTTTTTGCTAAAATCCGATTTTCCTAACTTTCTGGTTCACATTCATGTAGGTCCGTGACTTAAATATGTCATTAATATGAGCAAATATTGCGTCCTGAAATGACCTGCATGCGCACATTCTAATCAACATCGTGTGAAGGAACCATGTGCGTTGAGAACAGCAAACAAACTAACCAGCAGAACAAACCTTCAGCACCAAGAAAATTAGCTCTAAACAGCTCTCAGCTGTTCATTGTTGGAGCAAGACAAAGGCGTAAAGGGTCAGATGCGTTGCTTTTGCCCTTTTAACTGGCACTAACTTCAGGTTAGGTGCTGCTGCCTCATAAATGCTGAATGATTAACGCATGCATAGTGTAATAAAAACATTTAAATTCCAATCTGAGCATTGTTATTAAGTTTGCATAACCATTGATGTCTGATCTAGGAC